AGTAGTAGTAGTAGTAGTAGTAGTAGTAGTAGTAGTAGTAGTAGTAGTAGTGGTAGTGGTAGTGGTAGTAGTAGTACTAGTAGTAGTACTAGTAAGATGATGAAAATTGTAGTACCACCACCACCACCAGTAATGATGATGCTTAGTAGATCTGCTATTTCTTCTATACCACCACCACTTCAATCAATCCACAACTTCCAGATCCCCTCTCTCACTGGTTTAGTGAATAGACCATGGTGGGTAAAGTGAGCACAATTGAGTGTTCTTCTTATCCGGTATTCCTGGAGGGGTGACAAGAAGTCCCATGCTGGTGGTTCTTGTTGTTTTCATGAGTTTTTTTTGCAAATTCAGTGGTGCAGTGCGCAGAGAAATCAACAAGCTAATACTAGTAGTAGAAGAGGCTCCCCAGCAAAAATAGTACCCCCCTGGTGGTGTAGGATACACACTATGTAGTACATTTAGAGGAGAGAAACACCTTTCCAACCAACAGATTCTCAAACTCCTCTGAGTGGTGGTGGTCCTATGTTCTTACTAACATAAGAAAGTGCTACTACTAAGCAAAGCTTATAAATGCTTACTACYATAACTGGGAAGTTTTGCATGTACATGATAATCTGTTAAAATATGATACTACCAGGTACCCTTTTGGGTCCAAATTATGATGTGAMAGCTTTTTAACAGTAGGAATTTTACAGAGCTCAACGTGTGGAACTATTCTTCATTCAGACCAGCATGGGCAAGCTGTCACTTTGTTCCACATAGAACCAAAAAGGAACTATTTCAGAGCACTTCCAAGCTCACTTTTTGATTTTGAGAATTCAGATCAGCAAAACAAAATTGATTTCTGGACATTGCTATTAGCCTAACATTGAAAAAAATCAAAATCATTTCCAAGAACGGATTTTGCTTAACATAAATCGTTTACTACTTGAAGCTACTCTTACACTTCAGYTACTTTCTTACCAAGAACTACAGGATCAGCACCAACTAATCCTTTGACTCCCTCCAGTACATCAATAGGCATATTGGAAGCCACTCTCTCTTCTTCAGTCAAGCTTGCAATKAAGGATAGTGCTTGGTCCTTCAACCTATCTCTCTCCCTTCCATATGCAGTCTCCCCCCTGATAGTTATCTCATCCTCTTTCAGTTTCTGCAGGAATATGAGTCCAAGAAGCTGATGGAGGGGTGRGATCATTTTTCACCTTCATCCACATATCTAACAGCAGCTTGTCTTTCTTTGCAGGAAATTTCTTTTGCTTCTTCCATTGACATGAAACCTTCACAGTGGAAACTGGGAGAGACTTAGCATCTTCCTCCTTCTTAACTTCTTTTCCCTTGGAACCAAAATTCTCAATCAAACCAAGAGCTTTGCTGCTTTCTAGCCCTCTTCTTTGCTTCCACCAAGTGTTTAATCTCATCAAATTGTCTGCTTCTTTCCTTGGCAATAAAATAGTSCTCTATGTTCAGTGTATCTCCGCCAGTTGTGATGAAGTGCTGGCTATAATATTTTAACTCCTGCAATTGCATCTTGACAAGCCCTTGTATTTGGTTCCGTTACTCGTTGTACCAACTGCTTWCTCTATCRTGATGYWTATTTGTGAAAAACTTCCCCATTAAACCCAGGAGCATTCKTGTTCAATACTTCAATTGCTACAGAATTCTTTTTCTTGTGTGCTACCAGTGCAGCTATGTTGGGATCTGTTGCTAGATCAATGGAGCCATCCAGCAAAAGGATCAGTTTRTGTTGCACTTTTTTATCCTCTGGGCATTTGCAGGTGAATGGTGYAATTCCAATGGTTCTCCGTACATCTTTGCATTGGTCTATTGAAAAAKCCTCATCAAAGGCAAAATCCAAAGCAACRTTCTCATTCCAGCCATCGCACTTACCAAAAACTAACGGGGGATAATCAGTCTGCCAAAGGTTATCATTTTTCCTGCGCTGGTGGTGTGCAAGTTTTTTTCAGATTATTTCTGTAAAGGGTTTTGAAATAACCATAATTGCAATGAGGTGGCTGTGTAACATGAGTTGTATTGGGTACCCCAGGATGAAGAAGAAAACCACAAGTGGCAAGGCTTGCCAATAATGCTTCGTTKTTTCTTCTGGGCCCACTGTCAACAATCAACATAACCCACTTCTGTGGCAAATCTGCAGCATCTGGATAAAGCTTAACAATTGCATCCAATACATACTTTTCAAACTCTTCACCATCCATTCCTGCATTCATGTTGCAATGGACTGTAGCTCCACTGCTTGTGATACAATCGCCATATATACCTTTTGTGTTTTGAACACCATTGACAAATAATTCTTGGATTTGCTTCTTCTCCTCTTTGGTGGCATTTGATTTCAATTGGAAGTGTGGTGGTAGAGGATAACCAGCAGCATTGCTACCAGCAACCAAAGTGATTTGTGAGCTGCTCTTGTTTGTCCTGTCAGCTCCACATCCAATATCMTATAGAGTTGGCCAGCTAATGTACGACCCAGTYGTAGATTTTTGGCTATCTAATTACCGTGTAATGACTCATGGGATTARAAATTTWACTTGTACTAGGCCTACAGTGTGCACGTGCGAGCGAAAACTATTTGGTTGCATRARTGTGGGATTCAAAAATTCAGSACRTGCCCCACTGTACAGGTAGTACAAGTGAAATTTTTAATCCCACGAGTCATTACACGGTAAAAAGATAGCCAAAAATCCCYGCACAGTACAAAATACACRTAGAGAGTTAACTAGGGTACAACTCACTCGAACAGCCATAACTTTTTCCCCAACRGACGCTTAAGTACGATAAGCACAWGGTTAAAAAAAATTCAAAGAGCTTTCTAATGGCGTGGGGGAGTACGGYGTACAACRAATATTGACTGATATAYGTTTACAAATATATTGAATTGCTAATGTACGACTGGGTCRGCCGGAATCACYCCGCCAACGCTATACAATATTTATCAGCAACRCTGTTGACAGCCTTCCTCCAGCTTGGCTCCCATTCCCAGCATCCAGTGTCAATCCTCATTCATACAAGTTGATGATTCAATTTAGTTGCCCTAAAAAACAGCCTAGTACCTTCCAGGATTTCATTGTCTTGTTTCATTCTGGAAAATCTTTTTGCAACAAGTGTGTGCTTTAGTGCATTAAACCAAGTATTAATGTTATTGTATGAAATCCACTTCAATCAATGCTCTTCAATCTTTGTTTTGCTTTTGGCAAATTTCAAGTGTTCTGCAAATGTTGGGAATAAAAYGTCGGTAGAGACTCACAAAATCATATAGCAGATATGGAGCAGGTAAAAGACACRCCTTCAACATCACAATGAAACCTTTACGTCAGGGAATCATCTCATTTTCCTCACATGCCAAAGCAACAAATGATGACACTGCATTTGCTAGTGCTGCTTTAATTGCTGGTGATAGCAAGCTCTYCCGGCCACAACCGGGGGCCCCAGACCCTCCTTCAAATGTTGTCTGACAGTGTTTGCCTTCAATGATGTGTTGTAAAGCAAATTCACTCAAGACAAGATGCTCACAACAGATGAATGGAAGTTTGGTGGCAAATTTTCTTGCTCATACCTGACTTTCTTTGCCGCTGCTTTGTACGCATCATYGTGAGCTTGTTTCTAAAGACACTTGTTTACCGTCTTGATATGAGCAAGCTTGTTGAGGAGTATCAGGTCCCTCATCCTTCCTTGCTG